TTCCAACTTCAGTTAGCCTTTAATTCGATTAAGTGAAGTTTTGGCAACTATGACTTAGTGTGGTAGTTGAAGAGCCCAAAAAAAAATCTACAGTAGAATCAGGCTATAACGACCCTCAAGGCACGGTCGCTATACCCGGATTATGCCAAAAACCTTATAAGCTTGCTCATATAAGTTTGCCTCGGGACCAGAATTATTGTCGTAATAACTGTACAGACGCTATAGCCAGATTCTACTGTAATTGTAATCTGGACAATGGGCATATATCTATACCGCAACCAAAATCAAATACAATCAACATTTGAAGCCATGTAATAAGCTGCGCATAAAGTCCATGGCCATAAAGCTGGCCAGTGGCAAGACGCAGACAAGCTGTTGGGGTAGCTGTGAAAAGGACACAAGAAACCGGACACAGGACATGGGACATGGGACATGGGACATGGGACATGGGACATGGGACACTCAGGACATGGGACACTTGGCTCTGGCTGTGGCTGTCAAAAAGTCACAGCCATTAGGCGCACGATGCCTGCCTCCTCAGTCTGCAACATGACACCCAGCCGGCGCACCACCGAAGGCAAAGCATCAAACGGAGTGACAAACTTCCTTCCAGCTGGCCAAAGGCGATGGCCCAATGGCCAATGGAGCTGGAGCTCGAAATGAAGAACGCTCTTCTGTTTCTGTTTTTGTTTTTGTTTTTGTTTTTTTCTCGGTCTTTCTATTATTTCTGTTTGGACACACTTCATTAGAGCAGCAGGTTTAAAGCTGCGTCCGAGCATCCGGCCGTGCTGTCCTCTACGCCGTGGCCTGGCCATGTCTGTCTGGCTCTCATATCCGGCTGCTGGCATCAGTAAACATGTTCAAAAAACACATCCAAAAAAGAAGAAAACACGAGAGACTCAAATGGAATGCCAAGAGTCACTCGCTCTCTCTGTCGACTGACATGACAAGCCGAACATAAGAGGGCAGGGCGGTGGGCGTGGCCGTAAGCCGCTGACAAAGCGCCACTAATACCGCTGCAATTAGTACACGTGCACCTGGACATGGCCCGCAGCTGCAGATTAGACTCGAAACTTGTTTATGGACTTTGCCTGCCGGGCTTATCTCTATGCAGCAAACTGGGAGGGGGAGTGGGGAGTGGCGAGGGGGGAGTGGGGTGGGGCATGTGTGGATGTGGCGCGTATAGGGTTGCTGCTGGCCATGGGCAACATGCCTGCAGGGCTGTGGCATAATGAAAGTAATAAAGTTGAGCAGCATAGTAGCCACGCCCATTCCACAGACGCCCATTCCTTGGCCTGCCCTGCGCTTCTAACTCGCCAGCTCGCATCTCTGATGGGCTGGCGGGCGATAAAAACTTTTCACAGGCAGACAGACAGCGTGCGGCTCATGTGTTGCATTTGTTGCTGTTGCTGTTGTTGTTGTTGTTGTTGTTGTTGTTGTTGTTGTTGCTATCATTGTTGCTGTAAAGCTGTCTGTGGTTATGGCAACGCGCAGCAGACACTTTTATCGCCATTGCTCGTTGTTGTTGTTTTTATTGAATATTCATAAATGGCCAAAAATCGCAGAGGAAATTGTTGTCGGCCCGGCTAGGCTAGCTGCCACAGCTGCCACAGCTGCTTCTGCTGCTGCTGCTGCATTTACTGGTCAGCTGAAGCCCATTGAAATCAATATTTTATGCGGCAGTCGAGACAGCAAAGATGCTCCTGCTGGCTATCCTTGCGAGTCCTTTGCCAAATGCAACAGGAAATGCAACACAAATTAAAATGTGAACATGTGTGTCTGGCCAGACAGCCCACACGTTTGTGGTTGCCCAGCTCGCCAGCAAATATATGTACTTGTATTGCAACGAGCACACACACACACACACAGATAGAGTTGGGTATTAATTTGGTCTTTGACTTTGAACTTGGCCAACGGCAAAGAGACAAAAGACTTGGCTGCAATTTATTTCACTTGTGCATCTATCTATCGCATTGCCGCTTACTTTGCGGCGCATGAAAATTGGCAACGCTGCAGAGAAGTTGGGCAACAGGGCAGTGCTTGAAATACTTGAAAATTTACATATTACAACTGCAATTAATTCTCAACATAAATCTGCGCTTATCACAAAATAAACAAACTGTCATTATTTTGACTATAAATAAACTCAAAGTAGACCGAAAAATAGCCAAAACGCATTTTTCGCAGACAACTTAGTATGCTCTATTGACTCTGTCCCTCAATCCTGTTGACCAATAAGTCAAAGAAATTTGGCTTTAAGAAAAAAAAAAAAAAACAAATGCTTGGCTATAATTATTGTCTATATGAATTACATTCTATATATTATATGTAGGAAATTTGGCAACGTTGCAAACACAAGTCTGGCTTAGTAAAGCTCTATAGGCGAGTGCATACTTTAGTATCCGATGCAAAGCTTGAAGAGTCTAAGAAGTTTGGCAACAATGCTTGCACGCATCTGAAGCTGCCGGTTAGTAAGTGTGGCAACAAGAAGAAGTTTGGCAACAATGCATGCAAGAGTCTGCCTGTTTGTAAGTTTGGCAGCAATGTAACTTAAGTGAAGAAATTTGGCAACAATGCTTTTAAGAACAGCGCTCAGAAGTCGTACTAAGCTCAAGGTAGCTATGCAATGCAATGTGTTGCATACTTTGCAGCGTTGCAACTAGCTGAAGCAGCTACAGAAGTTTGGCAACAGCGCCTCAGCCTCCAGCTGCAATATGCTGGCAATCTAACGCATTATTAAGCAATTATAGAGAGCATACCGATGCGCTTAACGCTTGAGTGAGCTGAGAATGTGTGAGTGTGCGTCCATGTGTGTGTATGTGTGTGTGTGTGTGTGGGTGGATGTGGATCAAACTGGCATATCAAATTAACTAGTAAATTGACTTGTCAAAAAGAGTTTTGTGTTGAGTGTATGACTGAGTGTGTGCGTGTGTGTGTGTGTGTGTTTGCATGTGTGTGTGTGTGTGAATGTGTTAGTGTATAAATACAGGGAAAAGTGCTTCATTATTCATATTAGGCGGCGCCTTTCCTGTAATTTCCTGTCAGACATTAGAATAAAGGCGTCGCTTTTAATAATGACGACGATGACGATGACGACGACGACGACGACTATGATGATGGTAAAAGGATTCGCAGTTATTAATGAAGAATGCCAGAGCTGCCAGAGAAAAGCAGCGAGCAGCGCGCAGCACGCACGAATGCATGTAAATAATGAAGCCATAATGGGCAAGGGTATATGGAGTCTAGAGTATGCATGGAGCATGGGGGGCTGTGCGGGGGGGGCTTGTTTGAGTGTCGAACATGATGTGGAGGGAGGGGGGGAAATCGCTTGAGAGCAGAGGACGTGAACGTGTATTGTAATTTTTATTTCTGTCGAAATGGGCATCATTCGATGCACAGTTTATGGCAGCACCAGCAGCAGGAGCAACAGGAGGAGCAGCAGCCGGAGGAGCAGCAGCGGGGGCAGCATTATGATTATGGCTGTCATGGCAACACGTAGCAAATTATGAATGAATGAGTGCCACATGCACAAAGGGACAAAGGCACAAAAGGACTAAAAGGACTAACAGCACCAACTAGACGACCAAAGGCTGCTGATGGCCCATTGGCAGCTTGCGTAATTGCCACTTACTGTGGCACGAACTGTGTGGCTCTGCCTCTGGGCTGTTGCCGTTGCTCGCTTGTGGAAGCCACAGCAGCAAATGAGGCTAGTGCGACAAATACAAAGCAGGACTCATCAATATGCTCAACAGTTGTTGTTGCCACACACACACACACACACGCACGCAAATCAGTGTTCCCCAGCTATTAAGCAATTTCCAATTATGCAATACCAATTCGAGCTCTATAACGTGAAAGCCAATTTCATTTGCAGATTGTTATGATTCATATATATGTACACAAATATATTTAAATATACATTTGATGCATTTATGAGTGGAATATTAATGCATGTATAATCTATTAACCTGATTATTTGCATATATGGGCAGATATTGTAGCCGGGTTTCTCTTGTTTATGAAATTGAAAGGATATGTACTACCAGATATATTCTGAAATTCTCTCATGGACTATCTCTTTGCATGCGAAAAAGTTCCTTAGATCTGAAAGCTATTGTCCTTAAGTTGGTCTATTGTATCTCTATATTAAGGAGTTTATCTGCTTGTAATAAACTCTTATAATAGTCTGCTCTTTTTTAATAAATTATACACGTCTTTCATGAAATCTCATAATATTCTGTTTCAGTTTCCCTCTCTCTTTCTCCTTCTGTCTATCTCCCCCTCTCTCTCTCTCGTATCCGACTGTCTTTCTGTTTATTGCATTTCTGTGATATAGGGATCGCTCTGTATCTTTCTCTCTCTCCGCCACTATGATTCTGTTTCTATCCTGTCTTTTTTCATTATACCCCTTTTGTCTCTCACATCTCTCTCCCTCTCTGTCTCTATCTTTCTCTCTGCCGTACTATCTCCGTATCCTCCTTTTTTCCTTTCTCACTCTATCTCCCGCTTTCGCGGTTTTATCTTTGCCATTCTTTCTTCTTACTATCTCTCACTCACTCTCTCCTAGTTGCAGCTTTTCTCATTATTTATAAATCTTTTATTTTGCATCTCTGTCTAAATCTATCTACCTCTCACTCTGTCTCTGTCTTTGTGACCCTCTCTCTTTCCCTGCCTCCCTTTTTAGTTCTTATCTCCCTCAGTTTTGCTCTCACTTTGTACTTCTGTTTCTTGTTCTCTATTCTTGTGTGTGTCTCGCCTTTTCTTGTTCTGTACTTTTTCTCCTTTCTCTCCCTCTCCCTCTCTCTCTCTCACTCTTTGTCTCTCTCTTATTCCCTCTTTTTGTCTCATTCTCTCTCTCTATTTTTCTGTTTCTGGTTGTTTGTACCTCTCTCTCTCTCTCTCTCTCTCTCTTTCTATTTTGTTTCTTCCCCTTTACATCTCTCTCTTTCTTCGCCCAGCTCTTAATTAACATAATATTGTGTTCATTTCATCGCACTCACCTGACTGAGCTCATCTCTCGAGCGTCGCGTGCATTTGGGCAGCAGTGCCTGCATATCGTCATCGAAGGCTCCGCCATGGGCCAAGTCGACAACGTCGTCTGCATCCGGTTCCAGGCTGCTGCTGCGACGGCTGTCGCCATTCTTCCCATCCGCTTGGCTGTTGGATATCATTTTGTTGTTGTTGTTGTTGTTATTGCTATTGCTGCTGCTGCTGTTGTTGTTGTTGTTGTTCGAACTGAGATTTGATTGGCCATTTAATTTGTTGCTGTTGTTGCTCGATTGCTGCAGCTGAGATTTTTGTGACTGTTGCGCCGCATTATTGCAGCTGCTGCCATTGCCATTGCCGTTGCTGCTGTTACTGTTGTTGTTGTGGTTGTTGTTGTTGTTGTTGCCATTGTTGCTGCACTTGACCGCAGCCACAACAGCCTCTGTTTTATCGGTTAGTGGCGCAGCCACGCCCACTGCAGCAGCAGCCGACGTCAGCTGCTGTTCATTGGATCTGCAAAGACAAATAGAAGTACGATAAGTAACATGGAATACGTATGTCCAATGGCAATCGCTAGAGATCTATTTAAATTAGCTCCCACTTCATTAGCTCGTTGCAGCTGCCTCTGGCTCCAGCTCAGTCAGCCACTGCCTCAGCAGCAGCTCCATTTGTCAACTCCCAAGGCTCGAGGCTGGGCTGTCAAAAGGTTAATTTGCGACACATTCTTTTTGCCTGCCCTCTTCCATAAACATGTTAGATACAAACACAGACACACACACACACACACACACACATACATACATATTATATATTTATATCTCCATTTTTTTGCCTGCTCCAGCATCTGCAAGGACGCCCACGGTGCGTGTTACAAACTGACGCCCAAAAAGCTGGCAATTTTACGCCATTTTAACAATATATTACTAGACACTGCCAGCAGGCGGCACGTGGGCGGGGCAGGCAAGCAAAAAAAAAAAGCAAGAAAGAAAGAAGAAAACTTGCCGCACAAATGTTATTAATGAATTTGCCACAAGAATCGCAAACAGAATGGAAGTAAAGCAGGCAGCGAAAAGTAAGAAAGAAGAAAAGAAATGACTCTGAAACTTTGGGGCTGGCATGTGCTTCCGCTTCCGCTTCCGCTTGCGCTCTATAATGCCCGCCTCAAGGACGCGCTCAATGACGCAGCGCCTCAGTCCCCCCACCCCCACCCACAACAAAAAAAAAGACGAAGGTCCGTGTGGCTGGCAGCTGACTCTATCGAGCCAAGAAAAAGTTGCAAGCCAATACGGCGTACTCAAGCATTTTTACGCCATATGACAACTTGTCAAACATTCTGACATAATCATGTCAAATTAACACAAACAAGCAACAACAACAGCAGCAACAACAACAGCAGCTAAAACACGCAACGGATAATAAAACACTTAGAGGAATTAGTTCGGGTCGCTGTGAATTTATGCAGAAGCCAAGGACATGCCATAAGACCAAAAAAAAAAAAAAAATAGGCATTAATGTTAGTTGTTCTGTTGTCACC